AAGGGTTCGGGGAGGGGTTTCTGTCCTGGGGCAGGGGTGTAGGTACCCTTATGAGTAGTGTATAGCTATGGGGAGGGGTTGTTAGTAGTTCTGGGGGGCCTTGTAGCTAGGACCAGTGGGTATAAGGTGCCCTGAGTGTAGTACATGACTGTAGAGAGAGGGGGTAAGTAGTTCTAGGGGTTTATATGGCCCTGGGGGGGGGGTGTGGCCAGGGGTAAGAGTGTAGGTACTCCTGAAGGTAGTACATAACCATGGGGAGGGGTTGTAAGTGGTTCTCAGGGTGTTGTGGCACAGGTCAGGGGTTCTAGATACCCCTGGGAGTAGTACATGACTATAGGGAGGGTTTGTATGAGGTTATGGGGGCACATGTGGCCCTGGGGAGAGATTTGTGGCCTCGGCCAAGGTGTGTAGGTACCCTGGGGAGTAGCACATGACTCTAGAGAGGGGGTCTAAGTAGGTCTGAGGGTTAGTGTGGCCTGGTGATGGGGGTGTAAGTGCCCCTGGGAGTATCACATGATCCTAGAGATGGGGTGTAAATGGTTCAGGGAGGGTATGTGGCCCTGGGAGTGGTACATGATAATGGGGAGGGGGTGTAAGTGGCCCTGGGTGGGTGCAGGTGGCCCCAAAGAGGGAGTCTGTAGCCTTGATGAGGGTGTGAGCAGCCCTGAGGAAGGGGCCTTTGTGCTCCCAGGGAGGGAAGTGCTGGGGGTGTGGATGGCCCCAGGGATGTGGGGCTCTCAGAGGCAAAGTGGGGAATGTTTGGAGGGCAAGGGAAGGTCTGCGTGTCTTTCTGGAGTTGGGGTGCCTGTGGTCCTACCACGAGAAGCTGGAGGTGTGTGGAGGATGTGTGTTGTGAGGGGCTTTCTGCCTTGGTTGTTTTACCTCTTGCAGCTGAGGGAGTGCATTGGCACCTTTGCTCTGCCCTGCAGGTGCTGGAGCAGCTGCAGCCAGGCACACTGGGCTCTGTGCTCCTAGCTGAACTGAAAACAGAAAAGGGTGCAGAGAAGAAATATGTAATAAAGCAGGTAAGAAAGTGGTTGCTAGGAAATCAAGAGTTTGTTGGTGTGATTGTCATCTCCATGGGCCTTTCTGCTAGTAACAAACATGTTAGGCTGGTTGGCAACTGGGTGAGAGCAGTCTTACATCTTACTGAGCTGCTGCTTTGGAAATTAAAATTTCCAGATTATTTTCCTGGACTGTTGAGGTTAAAAGTTGGGGTAGAGGAGCAGCCTACTGAAGTCCATGCAGTGTATTTTCACCTTAGCTTACTAGCACTTTGACAGTGCAGGAGTGGCTAGTTGTTGCAGACTCATTTAAAGCTCAGTTTCTGGCCACCTCCCCAGTGTAAGACTGCTTCAAAAGTCAGAGACTTGAGCTATCATTAAACATTTATGCCAATTCATACACAATTTGGAGTTCCAGTCATCTTGGTAAGATTATTCTAGCTTAAAATTTGCCTGTTGCTGTATTGCAATCACTTGCAAATACAAACTGTTATCTTTTGGTGGTGCAGGTTGAGTGCATTGAAGAAAAGCAAGCAAATGAGGCCTTGGAGGAGGTATGGCTGTGGTTTTGATTTACTACTTCCCTTACAAAGACCAAAGTCTTAGCAAAGTCTTATCTACAAGTGTTAACTAAGTAAACAGTCAAGATATAAATTGGGTAGGACTATCTGAGGGGTGTTTTCTCTGCCCTGTGCTTGAGCTCAAGTCAAGAATTCTTAATTGTTCTTACAGTTGAATATGGAGGTTCAAATGGACAACTGCTGCCAGAGGATAATCCTTTTTCAGAGTTTATATTTGTTTTGTGCTTAATAAGGAGAGCAAAGCTTATCCTTTTGGCTTTTAAGCTGAAGGAGAATCTTGATCTGTTTATAGTTTATTATTAATAACTCAATTTTTAGTTAATGCCTTTGATTATATATTAATATCTCAGAGTTGGATTTTTATTTGATTTTAATTTTTTTTTTTGTGCAAACTAATTTCAATGCCTCAAGAAGCAACATCAGAAATGCTATTAAAACACCCACATTTTGTATCAACAAAACACATGAAGTAGCACATGGTGGAGTAGTCTTGTGGTGTCCAGTGTGCACAACATCTGTGGCTGTAAATGAGTGAGATCACACATCTGTACAGATGTTTTGTCCTACCCTATGTACCAAGACTGGCTTTACTCATGAAGCTAGACCCAGTTTTCCTTCTGATGTACATGTTTATTGAAATAAATGTTGTTGTGCCAGCTGGGAGTGTGGCTCTTGGCTTTTATTCTGGGTCTGTGCAGCCACAAACACAACTGTAGGAGAATAAGTTGAATTCTTTGTAACTTTCACCTCATCAGCAAATTTGCTGAAGTAGTTGTTAGAGCCCTACAGGGAAACCAGCTTGAAGAAGATAAGCATCTCCCTAGTGTCATCATGTTTTCTGAGGCTCAAGCTTGCAGAGGGATCACTCAAAATAACAGCTATGCTAGAAAAATCATCTTGACTTTCATATTCCAAGATGTGTTTTCAGGTTTGGGTGCTGGGAACTGAAGAAAGGGGTTGTTTATGTATCATCTGTGTAAGGATCAGCTTCTGTCCTTGAATCTCACAGGGCTCTTAGAGCATTACCTTGAGTAGAGTCATAGTGAAATATTTTCCTGAACTTGAGACTCCTGCATGCAAATACATAACAGAGCTTGCACATTGGAAGGATTTCATCCCCCACGTGATGTGAACAAGTCAGGGATTGGCTTAGGATATTATTTAAGGTCCTGTTGGTGGGAAGGACTGTCTAGCTTAGAGAGCTCTCTATTTTTTTTTATTTGCAGGCAATGGATTTACTAAAAATTAATCATTCAAACATCTGTGCTTACAAGGAATTGTTTGTGACTTGGGATAATGAGGTGAGAATGAAATAGGGTTGGTTAAATTAGAATGCATGGTTAATGTTGTAGGCATGTGAATGTTTTTGCAGGTTTAAATTTGGGGCTATTGGTGTGAGATGCTTGAAAAAGGTGGTTTGATTTGAAACAAGCCTGCAGCTTTAAATCCTGAGTAAATATACTGAAGAGCTGTGCAGATACATGGCTGCAGTCTATGATGTGACAGTATTCCATCCTAACTCACAGATTCTGATGTCAATTGGTGTGCAATACTGATTTTCATGCTTGTATGAAAACATTTTTATGGGAGGCTGTAAGAAGCTGAAAGCCCTCACTGACTGATTTTGCAGATTTTTCATGCTCATGCACTGATTGTTAATTTTTATGTATATATATTTGACTTGAATGGTCCCATAGGGCTTCAGATGAGATGCTTGATAATTTTATTTTTAAAAAAATCCACCTGAACAACAAACAGGCTGTATTTGTAGTAAAAGAAAGTAAATAACTGCTCTGTGAGAGATCAGTCATCTCAGAACACCTTGGTATTGGTGAACATCACACCCCACCAGTTTGGTTAAATACTTGGTATTATCTTTCTTACTGGATATGTTGTCTGCAAACAACTGGGCAATTTTGGTGTAATGTTTTATTACAGATATCATCTGTGTTCCTTTGTCTGGTAATGCAGCACTCAGGGCAAGGAGATCTTTCATCTGTTATCAAGGAAAAAAGGCAGAAGTCAGAAAAAATAACAGACATGGTACAAAGTACAGAAGAAGCATCTGGCTGAACTGCCAGAGCCTCACTGCTCTTTATATTTCTTCCTCTATATTCCCTCTTTCTCAAAGTCCTCTCCAAAATCTTTGAAGCACTGTGTTTTGCTGCAGGGTGGTTTTGGAAGCTATCTTCCAAAAGGTATTTGCCAGTTACCCTGTTTGTTAGACTTCCATGTATATTCCCCTCAACAGGTGATTCTGAAGTTCCTGGGACAGATGGTGGATGCATTGTTTTATATACACAAACAAAACATTTTCCACAGGTGGGTAGAAATCTTGTTCTCGTTGTGTGATAGGTTGTTGGTGTTTGCAGTGATTGTTGGTTCAGGACAGCTGCTCAGAGGCAGTGATTTTACTGTTCCAAGAGCAGGAGCAGGGGGTAGAAATTCTGGACTTTGTATATAATTAGTTTTCTGTGACTTCTGAAACCATCTGTTTGAGTTTTGTCTAGAATTATTCATTGGAATGAGGAGTTCTGGTTTTTTTTGGTTTTTTTGACTGTGCTAAAATTCTTTTCATTCTAATATTAGAATATGGACTATCTCTGTTATAGTTTTATGGTTGTGATGGACAGGGTATACTTTGTGTACCTAAAGTAAGAGACAACTGTTGCATGTTTAGATAAATTTGTCACAATCACGAATTTTTAAAGCATTTCACAGTAAAAGAAGAAAATTGTATTTCATTTGATTATCCCTTATATATTAAAAAAAAAACAAACTACAACAACAAAAACCAAACTCCTCACTACCAGCCCACCTTCCCTTTCTAAAACCCCACAAATCTGATGTGTAAAGAGGTGCTGGGCACCTGTAATTATCTATTGTGAGACTGATTTTACAGGCTGACAGAAAATACTTGTGTTGCAGAAATCTCAAGCCATCAAACATACTTGTGACTGGAGAAGCATCCTTCATGCTTAGTGACTTCAGCACAGAAACACTTGTGACAGATGAGATGAAATGGAAAATAAGAGTGGAAGAAAGTAGATATGTTTTCCTTTTTTTCTTGCTTTAATAGATTCAGTTGTGGTGGATATTTTTAGTTGTCAGAGAAAAATCAGCTGAAGAGAAAAAAAATTATCTTCCCTTCTCTGCATTAAGCTATTTGTCTTCTAAAGTGTGTATTCACAGGCAGTTGCCTGTAGCATTAATTGGCTTCACAATTGAAAGCTGTAGATCTGTCTGAGAGTCTCAGAACTCTGCCACAGATACAGTTGGAATCCTTTTTAGCTTGATAAGTATGCAGTAGCATCTTAGAAAATTGCTCATTAGTTCTGGTGTGTTTCTTAGTCTTCTGTGGTGTATCACCAGTGAAAAGTGACTAATCTCTGCAGAATATCTCTCAATTTTAGACATAAAACAGTTGCCTGCAGCTCATGCATGTGCAAAAGAAAACTGTACAGTGCAAAGTCAGCAGTGTTAGTGTCTGATTCTTATTTCAACAGAGAGCAAGTCCTGGATGGCTCCAGAAACATTTGTTTTCTCTTTTACTGAGAAATCTGACATCTGGTCTCTAGGTTGTGTTCTACTTGACATGACGACCTGCTTTGTTCTGAATGTATGTAAGGATGTTTCATTATAGATTTAAAATGTCAGGGGCCCACCAGGATGGCTGTAAATGAGTGTGTGAAAGCTTTTCTGGTACTGTGCTCTTCCCAGGAAGGAGAGATAACTTCCTTGCTGCAGGATATTCGTCAGGATGCCAGCTGTCTTGAGAGAGCTCTGACAGTAGTGCCAAATGGAGATAACTGCTCTTTGCCTTTATTTCCAATTTTATTCATGATGCTGCAGATCCAGCCCAGCATGAGACCCACAGCAAAGTGAGTTCTGGGTGTTTTCTCTTTATTCTTCACCCTACAGCTCACCTCCCTTCACAAGGATGGGAATATTAGCCACTGTTTGGGAGAGATTGACACAAGGCTGCTGGTATTACTGCCTTGACAAATGGAGTTAAAGAAGTCAAAGACTTGGTGTTCATTCAGAAATGGCATTCTGCTCTGTGGAGGTGTTCTTTTCTGAAGGGTCACATTCTAAAATCATGTTGTACACAATTTTACAAGCCATTAACTTGAAGCCTCAGCACGGTGTGCTCAACGTGAGCTGTTTTGAAATTTAGTTCTGTCAAAATCACTCCAATCTTCAAAATAGTATTATTAGATTCTTATATCAAAATGAAACAAAGCGTGTAGAAAGCTTTTTTTGTAACTTTCCAGTTCTCACTTGTTGGTACTGCTTTTGTCTCTTGTAATTCTAGGGACCTGGCTGATGTTCCATTTATTAGGGAATGCCTGACACTTGCTGGTGCCTCTTCAGTAAAACTGAAAAAGTCTTTGCCTCCCAAAATAATAGATGTGCTCCTTGAGGGAGATATTGAAAGTGTTATAGGTAATAAGAAAAATAAGATTGATGTAATGGTGATTTTCATAGATAATAAACCCATGTGTGTTCTAGTCAGCATGTATTCTGTTTGAAAAAGAATTATTGGACGTTCATTTTACATTGAAATAAAACTGGATGCTATTTGGAGGAAGAATCACTACACAGCCTTTTCTATCATCTAATTAGATTATCAGCCATACCTGCTGCATAAGTTAAATGAGGTCAGATTATTCCTCAAAAAATAGGCACCCCCACTTATTTTGTTTGCATTCTAACATGTTTGCTAATTTCTGCCAACAAAGGATCTTCCCCCTTTCCTTCCTTCTAAGTAAGGAAGATGTTAGTCTGAAAAGGCTATTGGAATAATGTATTTAAAGCCCCCATCCCTGCTCTGATTTGATATTCCAACAGGTCCCCAAAATATGTCATGCCAAATGCACAGATTGTGCAGGTGAATCATAACACTCTGTAATATTACAATGTTTGATATGTCAGGTGGAAAGCATTTCTTTTTTCAACAAGCACAAATCACATTTTCATTTATATGAATGCATATCTTGCACAAAATAGAGACAATTTGAATGCTTTATCTGAGTGCTTGTATCAAAGGCTTAGAGGAATTTTCTTGTTTTATCTAGAATTCATGCAGACTTTCTGGGATATAGAAGAAGCACAGGCTAAAGCCATTCAGCAGCTTGCCAGCTTTGTAAGGGACAAAAGTGGTAAGGCACTCTTCTACTACCTCATTCTGTTCTTTCCTTACATTTTGATATAATGGGAAGAGGAAAAAATGTCTCATGACAATGAGAGTGAAATTGCTGTCTCCCTGCTTCTCATTTTTGGAACATACTGGGTATAGGCCACTAGTTGATATGATTATGTTGGTACTGCTTTTGTAAATGCTTTTGTTGAACAGCAGAAGTGTTCTGCTGGATAAATAACAGGCACTGGAAAAAAAAACTTGGTGATGTTTTAATTGGCAAACTGACCTTAGAGGAGGGTAACTCATACCAGTGCTGGGGCAGCCTGGGGGCTGGTGCCCGGGGCTACAAGACTGGTAGAGCAAAAGGAAGCTCCATGTGTCTAGTTTCTGTGTTTCTAGTGAAGACTTTTCTTCCCAGCTTCTGCACATTTTTCAGGCAAATCTTTCAGATCAAGATTAATATTTTCTTAGCAGTATTTTAATCAGGTATAAAATGTGCTGCTATTTGGTGACAACACTTTAGTCCTGGCATTCACTTGTGATGTTACAACACAAGGGTGTGTTCCTCTCTGTAATTAATAAGGAAAAAGAATACAGTTTTACCTTAGAGTTACTTCTATCTTCAACACTGTTCCTGAGGAACTCTTTACTCAGTAGTATAGCAGCCTTTGGTTATAAATAACAAAATGAATGGATATTTGTGATTCTCATTCAATCCTACTGACAGCAGTGCAAGGCTGTGCACACATCTGACCAACCTTCTTGGCATTTCTGCCCCAGGGGCCTCCCGTGACTGATGCCTGCATCTTGGAGGGTGCTCAGAATGGATCCCTAAAAAAGAAATCCAGTTTTAAACTCAACATTTTAGCATGTATTTGTGGATACACTGAATAGCTGCTTTAGCTGTTCAGAAAGCTCAAAGGCTTCCCAGAACTAGGAGACCTGGTGAAATGTTTTCCTCCATGGGTTGATTCTGAAAAGTGTGGGTTTGGGCTAATGCATCATGTTCTACCCACTTGCTGCATGACCAGGGAGTGGTGCTGGTGTGACTTAGGAGCTGGCTACACAGCCCTGCAGTTACCCTTAGTAAGAGACATTTCCCTTAGACACTACAAAATCCACTCTAGTGTTCCATCTATACTTGCATTTGGTTCTCTTTGATTCAAGAATGTTGTTCTGCTGTATCACATTGTCCACAGGGATGCAAATTTATTTGGCACTGGAATTCTGGTGTGTTTTGGAGTATAGGTGCTCACTGAGCATTCTAAGCTGTGAGCTGAATGTTGTCTCAATTTCTTCCCCCCACAGCCCTGCCCTATCTGCTGACGTTCACAGAACTGATCACTTTTGCCATGAAGACTCATGTGGATTCTCTCAAGTTACAAGTAGATGGTTGCAGTTTATTGCTTGAAATTCTTAGTCAAGGTACAGTTATGAGGTTTCCAACTGATGCTGGGTAGTCCAGCTTATCTCTTGTAAAGTTAGATGTAACAGATAAGGTTTGAAATGGATTCAGTAATGATTTTAGGGCATAAATTTAAATTAACAGTGGAATTTAACCAGCTGGAATATGAGTCTGGATTTTCATAGACATTATTCAGGACTGACAAATGTGAATTCTGTGTTAATTTTAAATACAGGCTGTGGATTTTAGGCTACCAAGTTTGTTTTTATGTAGTGTGTTACTAGAGCACAATTAAGAGGCCCCCTGTGTTCTGGTATTTGAATTTCAAACCATAAAGCTGTTTTTTGGTCTCTTGTGTGGTTCCTCCTGTCCCAAATAGCACCTAATAATGATAAAAGCTTAAAACCAGCAAGGATTGTTTCAGAAAAAGAAAATGTAAAGTAACTTTTGCTTATGTTATGTGAAGAAATGCTGTTAATTGAATGTTTTATTTATGCTGACAGCAGGGGGTTTAGAATTCATCTAAAACCACTGAAATCTTTGTTCTGGTCAAATGTTTGCTACTTTTGACAGCTCTGGAACAGAATGTGGTGATGACCCTGGATGAGAATGTGACCAGCTCTCTGTTAGACACAGTGAGAAAACACCATGAAAATGAAGAGTTACTTTCATTGGTCTGCACGCTATTGATGATGATTTCAGGCAGTGGTGGGTCACTTTGTTCATTTTTGGGGAATATTATCATGTTTCTACTCTTATATTCTAATCCAAGATATAGTGCAGAACTTGTGACTTCACTTAGAGATGTGGATGTCTGTAGGTTTTAGTTTAATAGTGGTATAATTAAGATTGACTAGATACTGGTAAGGTAACATTCCTGAAAGTAAAAGATACACTGCTGACGTTTCAGGTTCTTACAGAATTGTATCTGTTAGAGTGGTCATGTGCTTAATTTTGTTTGGGAAACAAGTACAAACTGTGTAAATAATGCTTGGGAAAATGAGGGTGTGGAACCTGGACTGGTTTTGGCTGTGCCATGGTGCATTGAAATTATTCTACCTCATTTCTTTACTGTGGTTTTTCTCCTGAGATTGTAATTGCTAAATATTCATAGTACTTTTTACTTGTTTTCAGTGTCTGTTCAACAGTCATCAGAAGACTGTTTTTATAAATTGTTACAGAAGGATTTAGCAGCAAGGGGATAATGTTAAAGTATGAAGCATTATGTACAAATAAACTTACCATCTAAGACCAAACTATTTTTACACAGTGTTTCCTAATTCTGAAGCTGATGTAGCTTGGATTGCTAAATCACAAACATTTGAAAAAAGTCATTTATACCCTCTCAGTTCCTTTTCTGCCCTGTAAATTCCAGCTCTGTCAGGAAAAAGGATGGCCAAACATCCCTTTGAAAGGGTCAGTTGTGCTAAATGCTATGCCCAAGTGCACCGTGTTGAAGAATTCACTCTGTTCTCTTGCCTTCTTTTGTCCAGCTGATGGTGTCACGTTACTGGTTTGTTATCACTGTTTAAATAGGGTTGGTAGTGCTGTCTGTTTGGAGTACAGTGAGTGGGACAAAAATACCAGATTCTGTAGAGTTTCTTTTTGTATTTTTTTTTCTCAGAAGTTGCTGCTGAGAATCTAAGGAAAGTTGGAGTAATTCCAGACCTTCTGTCAATTATAAGAAATTTTCTTCATAATGAAGAGATCTGCCTCGCGTGCTGTGGGGTTCTCTGGAGCTTGGCTGTGAGTGGTGAGCAGAACACAGCAAGTATTGTGCCTAGCCTCATGTGACCAAAGGCAGCAGGTATTGTGCCCAGCTGAGTGCAGACATTCCTGTCCCTGGGACTGCATTTTTTTTTCTCCCATTCTGGAGAGGTGGCTCCACAGCACTAGTAGAATAATTTTAAGTGATGCAGAGTTAAATGAGAGAATATTAAAACCTAATGCAGACTTTTTATCAACCCTTCTTGTGATAAGGTGTCAAAATCAAATTTTTACTCTTTAGGCCAAGCTATGGGTTATGAACCAAGTGTCAGAAATAGAAGGGTGCACACAGGTCCTGTTTTTTCAGTCATTTGGGTTTGCTCTGCTCTTAGCAGTGTAAAGAGCCTATTAGATTAGGTATCAGAATAGCATTTGGAATTTTAGCATCATATTTATTTGCATCTCACTTCATTTGGTAGCGCTGGGCTGAATCTTGGACATCTAGAAACTTGCTTTTCCAACAGAAATGTGATTGGCAAGGTGGCAAATGTACTCTTCCCTGCCTTAACTCAACCAGCATCATCCCAGAGTGCTGGAGAGCCATAGGTGACTGCTTGGACTGACCCCTTCTTATGAGACCACTCTGGCAGTTTTTTAGGTGTTTTTTTTTCCTTGTGACATGTTGTTGTGTATGTGTATGGAGTTGTAGCCTTCAGGGAAGGCTGAAATCACAGAATGTGCACAGTTGCACTTGGTACATTTGCAATTCCCTCTGTGCAACAAATCACCCGTTTGATTTATACAACCAGCTAAATATCCATCCTGCAGACCAGATTCTGTCAAAAAGTTTTTTAGGGGATTTTTTTTTTCTTGTGACATGTTGTGTAGGTGTGTGGAGCTGTAGCCTTCAGGGAAGGCTGAAATCACAGAATGTGCACAGTTGCACTTGGTACATTTGCAATTCCCTCTGTGCAACAAATCACCCGTTTGATTTATACAACCAGCTAAATATCCATCCTGCAGACCAGATTCTGTCAAAAAGGTGATTACTTTTGGAGGTTGCTTGCTGTGATCTCCATGTATAATTTAAATGGCAAAGAAAACTAGTTTCCAGAGAAGTTCAGCTTTCTGCAATGAACTAAAATGTTTTATTTGTGTAAAATTTGATTTAGTTTTGTACAATTTAGATTCCTTCCCTATTCTGTTGTCCATACTAAAATAGTGTTGCATTAATCCCATGCCATCACCCATTAAGGTTTTACTGATTTGACATACAATGTGCTGATGATATTACTGCATGAAATAACTCTGAACATTTCCTTTTTGTTATGGTAACTCAGGGAATAACATAGACCAAGGATTGAAAAGTGCTGTCCCTGTCACCTCTGCAGTCCTTCAGGAGCACCTCCAGAATGGAATGGTTACAGAGTCTGCATGCTCAGCTCTGTGGGCCCTGTCCCTTCAAGGTGTGTTTCCTCAGTTTCCTTGTGCCATGGGCATGGAGCAGGCCAGTGTACTGAGCATGGCTGGCTGCTGTCAGTGTGACCCTCGAAATACAGGCTGCAGATGGCAGCAGAGTTAGAAACTTGTGTCCTCTCTTAACCAGCCTTCCCTGCACTTGCTCTCTGACACTCCCTAATGAAGCTATATTTGATGAGCCGTGGCAACTGCATAATGAGCAAAACAGGCTGAATATTCAGGACTCTCCATTCTGTTTGGTGTGGAGAATGAAGGGGAATCTTGACATGGATCTATCAGAAATTTTCTCCTAGACCCTTGGATCAGCTCATATAAAACTATTGGGCCTTTTTTGCTGTGATGTTTTCACATGCTCTCATTGTAACTTTTGTCACATCCTTAAAGTCATTTCAGAAAGAGGAGGCCTCATATAAGACTATTGGGCCTTTTTTACTGTGATAGATGTTTTCACATGCTCTCATTGTAACTTTTGTCACATCCTTAAAGTCATTTCAGAAAGAGGAGGCAGAAGTTGAAATGCTGATGAGTGTTTTACAGGCTTTTGACCATATTGAAGTTTTGGGGGTTTGTGTGCAGTGAATTTTTGTTTGCCTTTTTTTTCCCAAAGGTTGTTTAACTGAGAGTGAATACGAGCCCACAACAGGGCTTCTGCTGGATGCACTCAGGATGAACCCAGAAAGAGCAGTGCTGGTGAAGAATGCCTGCCTGGCACTAGCAAGCCTTCTGAGGCTTTCTGGTAACATTCAGCAATTGTTTTAATGAATTGCAAATCAGCTCAGAAGTGGGTGTTTCTGTATAGCTCAGGAGTTCATAGTGGGATGGACGTCTGCTCTCTGGAGTTCATCTTGTCTTGCAGGACTGGAAGAGCAAACAGTGAAACTGCAGGTGTGACTCTACCCATGGGCCCAGCACAAACTGAGAAGCATTAGATCAGTGCAATCTTATGATGTTGCTTCAACTGTTTGAAAGGGTAGAGCTCATTCAGTGTGAAAACCATAAGCATTAAAATGCCACTTCTGCCATGGACAGCATCAGCTACATACATCATCTTCTACTTGTTGCCCCAATACACTTCAGAACAGCTTCTGGGAAGACAGATAATAATGTGCATGACTTCCTAGAGAAATTACACATTAGCTGGAGCAGGGGATTGCAAAGCAGATGATGCAGTCTGCAGGGACCAGTTAGCCCAGCAGTGTTTGTCTCCCTTTCAGAAATACCAGCTTTGAGAGTTATAACGGATTCACAAGGCAGTGGAATAAACCTGATCAGAGATGCCTACCACCTTCACTGTGAGGATCCAGAAGTTGTAGGAGCTATCTGTATGCTGATGAATGAGATGGCTCAGTATGGTGAGATGATGGTGTTTATTTGTTGAGTCTTCTCTTCTCCCTGACTCCCAAGAGATAGTAAAGAAAACCAATAAAAGCAGCTCCTCAGGGACATGTTAGTTGCTCTCAGGAAAGATTTACTATGTGTCTGAGAGAGGAGGGTTAATTAGAACCAAGACCTCATTCCACTTGTTCTTGAATAATTATAAATGCCACTCTGATGTTACAATGTTGTAACTTCATCTTATATTGCCTTCTTGTGTAGATCTGCCCTCTCTGCTCTCCTTCAACTCCTGCTAAGCTGTAACCACAAATCACCCTGCTCATTTACATTACAGATGATGCTGTGCTGGATATGTTGTCCCAGAACATGGGAAAACTGCTATCTGAAATAAGAAGGCATTTTCCTTCTAGCAGGGTATGTAGAAGTCACTGTGATAGCAGTGGATGCTTAGTGTGCTATGTGTGGTTATGGATTTTATCATGCTCAAATAGCTGCAATTACCTACACAAATCACCCTGCTCATTTACATTACAGATGATGCTGTGCTGGATATGTTGTCCCAGAACATGGGAAAACTGCTATCTGAAATAAGAAGGCATTTTCCTTCTAGCAGGGTATGTAGAAGTCACTGTGATAGCAGTGGATGCTTAGTGTGCTATGTGTGGTTATGGATTTTATCATGCTCAAATAGCTGCAATTACCTAGTGCAGAAATGTACAGAATTATGTGTATATGGGTGAAGAGTTTAAGCATATTTCTAACTACTGGAAACAAGTAGTTGCAAGGTTTTTTCTTTATGCTTTATACTGAATTTTTTGAAAACTATGTTCTGGTCTCTTGCAACATTGCATTGATTTACTACATTCTTTATACTGAAACTGGCTGAAGTTTAAAGGAATAAAGCATATTACATCCAATTGTTTTTGCTGTGTAAGTGACAACCTGAAAAACCCCACAAGCTACAAAACAAACTAAACAAACCCTTGTGACAGTTTGCCTGGAGATTTAACTCATCTTAAATTGAGGCAGTGTCTCTTGCAGGCATTGCCTGCACCAATTTTATGGATGCTGCAGCTCTAAGTGCAGAAAAAGACTCACAAGGGAAGAAAGCAAGCTCCCTCTTCTGCTGTAATTGTCCTTTCTTGTTCCCTGTCTCCCCTGCTGCCAGATGAGCCCAGAGCCACTCTTGTTCCAGCAGCAGCATGTGATATACAACTGTTGAATCTCTGACACCCATTCCTTGTGACCTGCCAGCATCCAGTGAGATTATTTAAATCCCAGCATCAGTAGTCAGTCTAGTAATGACAGATGCTTTGGATGTTGCAGAACCAGACCCCATTGATGTTGAAAACACCACTCACTTTAAAGGCCTATGCTAGACACAATTTTTTTTATTAATAAGGAATATAAAAATAAGTGAAGCAACAAAGTAATGTTGTATTTGACAATTCTCACATTTCTCTCCAGGAGATAAGGACCCTTGTGGATGCCACGCTTCTGAAACTGCAGAAGTAAAAGGAAAACTTTCTGTATAGGAACAAGACTGGTACAATTCTGGTTCAGATATAAAAGGCTGGATCCTCCAGAGATATTTTAAGATTTTTCTCACCAGAGTAACATTGGGTCATTAGTAATATATGAACAGTTACATATTCTGTTGATTAGGTACCACAACTGTGAGACTAATAGCAATAATTAAGAATTTGCCTTACTTTGTAGACTTGAAAGTCTTTGAAATAAAGATACAAGTCTTGGGAGTTTCAGCAAAGCAATTGTAGTTTCTTCTTTCATCTGCTGGAGTTTAAAACCACTTTTTTTTTTTTTAACTTCTTCAGTATGTATTTCCTTTGCAGAAACTGAACTGAAGTACTTCACAAATGCAGAAAATTGTACAGGTATTGTTTAAACACAGTAGTAGGCATTAGGCACAGGTACCATCCAGAAAGGGAGATGAACAGCATTCTCATGTGGCAGTGTTCACCTACCAGGGGAGGGACTGTCTTCTGATGGATTTAATGAAGTAGCTGCTGTCTTGAGTTCTGTCTAAATTGCTCTGGAATGTGACATGAAACCAGTGAATGCTGCAGATAAAAACCATTCAAGTTTTACAATTTTTCTTGTTAGATTTGTTCTTAACAGCAGCTTCCCATTTCTTTTTCTCTAGGGTGTACAGCCTCATAGCTGCTTGTGCATCCTGAATCTAAAAGAACAGAAACAGAAGGCTTAATGAAACATAGCTGATGTGGCTCAATGATATTATTGTTAATAAGCAGTTAAATATTTCATCATTTTAATCATCTTTTCATGTAACATTTCAAGATTTTTTCTTAGATCTAGGTTCTGTGGCTAGTGCAGGGGATGAGTATGTGTTCAGAATGGATGGCCCACCACCAAGCTATGCACTTTTCTCATTGTCACTTGTAAAGACAGAATAAAAAAATACTCTTGAGGGTATCTTGGAGATACCCTCACAACCTGCTGCTGTTTCAGTTACCTGCTGAGATTCAGCAGCAGGTTCATGCACTACTGTGGTGCAACAGTGCAGAATGCCACTTTTAAGGTAAGCAGTTGATACTTGAGTTACCTTTGCCCTGGGATTCTTAAAATAATTAATATTTAAACAAAATACAGTTGACTTGTGCAAAATAAATTTGACTACAAGGAAATAACTCAAGTGGTATGAGACACAAAACAGTAAGCAAGCTTAGATGGCAATCCTGCTGTGCTGATGTCTGAGTAGAGCCTGGATTGAACCCAGATCCTAGAGCTGCTGTGTAGTACCTTGTTACCTACCCAAAAATGTATGTTCTGATGAGATACATACCGAGCAGTGCTCTGATGTCTGCACTTGCACATTTAGCAGTTTCTCACAGAGCAGCTTCAGTGATGGTCGTGCGCTCTAGAAATTAAACAAGATAGAATCATGCTGTCTGGCACTATGCAAAGTGTATAGAAAAATATCTATATAAAAAGAATCAGTTTAAGTGTATTCCTCAAAGGATAGCACATCTCAGCTTCTACTGGTGACCTGTCAAGAATAATTGATGAATTATGAGATATATTCATGCACTGCTGAGAGGACTTCATAAGCCTCTCATAACCCTGAAATTTGTCCATTTTGATGTGAAAAAGAAAAGATATCATTATGAGACTTCAAATATCTCCCTATAATCTGAACCTTTATTCCTGCAGTCTAAGCAGAAACTTTAAGCCATCTATTTTTTTATATCCCAGTGGAAATGATACCATTAAGAAGATCCCATGAGCCTTACTGTAAGTAAGATGGTCCAGTTCTATTTTGCTATCCAGAAAAACATTATGAAGATTATGCAAGTGCTAAATGAGGAGAGCTGCTGCATCTTGTAGTACTGATAATGTCTGTACTGAACTCAGTAATGTACTGATAAATGCCAAACAGTGAGCATGCAGCTAGACTAGTATTTTCAGTGACAAAAAGCAGGAATCCCTGTTTCAGGTAGGAAAGGAGGAATGGGCTCAGACAGAGGCACATGTAGGGGTGTCAGCTAATAGAGGTGCAGCTTCCTGGTGGTTTCTTACCTTGACTCTCTGTTTGAAAGGTTTGTATCTCTGCGTGTCACGTATCTTCTTCTTAGGATGGTCAAGAAATAGGACCTAGAAGAAATTACATTTCCAGTCTAAAGCATGCTGTTGAATGGGAATTTATACAGCTGAATGTACAGCTTGGACCCCTTTCCTTCCATCCGTTGTGAGAGAGTTCAAAACCATGAATGGAAGACCAAGATCATCCAGACACTGGCTGGGTTCAAGACCCACAGCTCTAGTGTAGAGCCTACTTGCAGCACAATGCAAGGTACTGGTCTCTGGTCACAATGACCACACTCTGGAGCTCTAGGGTATAAGCAGAGCATGCAAACAGTTTTTTTTCATTCTGTTTCTTTCTTGGCTCTTCAGTAGGCACCTCAGTGATGGTCACATCAGTTTGGAAGCTGAAGAACCTTAGTGGTCAACTGATTATAGCGGACCACACTCTGGAGCTCTAGGGTACAAGCAGAGCATGCAGTTTTTTCATTCTGTTTCTTTCTTGGCTCTGACCACACTCTGGAGCTCTAGGGTATAAGCAGAGCATGCAAACAGTTTTTTTTCATTCTGTTTCTTTCTTGGCTCTTCAGTAGGCACCTCAGTGATGGTCACATCAGTTTGGAAGCTGAAGAACCTTAGTGGTCAACTGATTATAGCTAGACTTAGTGCAGCACGAAATGCCAAGAAACTGAGGTAACTGGTAAAGCTGTGATTTCTAGCAGTTCAGGCAAGTTCATCTGATCCAGAAAGATGTTTTAGAAATTTAACCCATCTTAAATTTTTGGAGCCCTGTCTTCAGAGTAACGGATCTGCAGCCATGTACCTTCAGATCATTGCGTAGAGCATGTCCCACCAAAATCCTTCCATTCAAGATTTCAGCAACCTCCTTCTGAACTGTTTTAAAATCTTCACCTAGTGATACCACAGAAGGAAACAATTCCCATTAGATGCATAAGACAGCGACAGTTGAAAAGCTGCACCTTTTTTTGTGAAGGCAATTCTGTCCTTGGGACTGTGGTTAAACAGATTTGTACAGTGCACTAAGTCCTTGTTACAGGGGCATAGAGAATTCCATCAAGAGCAGAGCACTAGAAGGAAACACACTTCCTATTATTCCCATCCCATAATCCATGAGTTAATTCCTTCTAGGGCATTAATGACCACTCTGTAAAAAGTACTTTTTCCCACAATTCTTTATAGCATTCAGACTACATTTGGTTTTGTATTTCCCAAAACAAGTCTAGAACTTTTCCAGGCTGAGCCAATGAGGCTTCTGTTAAATTTCCTCTCCTTAAAGAATATTTCTTTTGGAAAATACTCCTACCTTTGTTTATATTCTCAGGGCGTATGCCACTAACAGCTGTCCTGTAATCAGTCACCTCTTCTGTAGGCTTGACATACTTGTCATAAACACACTTCCCAAACTGGTTCACGATGGACACTCGAGCCACAATGCTGTCTTCACCCTTGGGTCCCACTCCCACCATCTCACAGTCCATGGCTACAGCTCTTGTCAGCCTAAAAGACAAGGAACAACCTGGTGACCCTGCTGTGACAGGGACAGCACAGCCACGCTCACCAGGTTCATGTGCTGATAGGAACAGGAAAATCTCAGCAGGCTGGGAGAGATGTCAGCTTATGCTCTGCACCCACAAATCACAGCTGTTAGGAGATAATCTCGACAGCTCTGGTGCCATCCTTCCTGCTGGAACACCACTCACCCTTCAAAAGCCTTTTCCTGAACCAGCACCTGCTCCACAGACTCTTTGGATTGCCCTGTTTCAAGTCCCAGATTTCTTCGAGCGATTTTTGCTGCTTCAGGTCCTATTGCTGCTTCAATATCTTTTGGATCAACGTCATCAAACCAGATTTCAGCCCTGGTAAGTACAGATTTAATTACATTTTGAGGGTCTTAGAGTAGTCTTGCATCTTTATAGTACAGAAAAAAACATTTTATTTTTTTTTAAATCAACAAACCAACTCAGTAAAAATTAGTCCAGTACTGTCACCTTTGCAGGTCTGTTGCTGTATCTGTGGAGCAGAGGCAGCATGTGTCTTATTTCTCCCAAAATTCAGTTTGGAAGATTGCAGTTGTTTTGAACGTGCTGCTCTGTGCTCCTTGCATACACCTCCTGAAATAAATACTCACATACACATACAATGCCTGAAGTACTCACTCTTTGGGTGGCTGTTCTGAGTGCTCTTCAGCTTTCCTCCTCTTATGTTTTATATCACCTTTTTCCTTTAAAATGTCACCCTTTTTCTTTTTTTCTTTGCAGCCTTTTCCATCACTTTTGGCGCCATTTAAATTCTTATCCACTGCTACCTTTTTGGGCTTTGGCTTAGCCACAGAAGCATTGTCTTCAGCAGAACCACTGTCCATTTTATTTGTAGATTTGACCTTTACCACATTCCCATTGGTAACTGGGACTTCTGGCCTATTTCCTGCTTTGACTGGATGCTTCTTTTTGCTGTCTGTTTGACATGGAGCGAGGGGCTTGTTGGAGCCATTTGGCTTTTGTTTCAGTACCTAAAATGATTAAGAAAAAAAAAAATTAAAAAAAGGATTATTTGCCCCTATTTCTGATCCACCCTCGTTCCTGAGGCCTCTGTGCCCAGTGGCCCTGCACTCTCCAGCTGGCTCGAGAGGACCTGCTTGCAACGGGCTGTCCCGATCCCTGCCCGCAGCACTTCATTTGTTGACAAAAAGTGGGTTGTTTCTCTGGTTTTTAACTATTTCACCCAACGTGGGCCTGCGTTCGGAGGAGGGCAGCACGGCCCCGGCCCGCTCGCCCACCCCAGAGCCCCA